TCACGACGCTGTTTACTGTGTAGTGCACATACATGAATCACGACAACCTTGTTTCTATTGCCGTCTTCAATAATGAGATAACCATTATTTTTTCGTTATGCTTCATATTTTTTGTTGGGCATATTTGCGCGCCTTGTGTTGCACTGCCAGTGCTCGTGATGTAAACTTGCTTTCGTGCTTGCCTGCTCGCAAGTGCAATGTGCCTGAAATAAATGGATGGATTTCTAAAGTTGTGAGCAGGGAGTTTTGTTGTCGGGTCTGCTGCATATATAGTCGGCCATGCTGATCATCTGAGAATGTCTTGCCTCGTATATTTTCCCTACTGGTTTCAGAAAAATTAGGCATTCCATGATTTGACTGCACATGGCCCAGTGGAGGTCATGCAGCCAGAAGTGTCAGTATTCTGTAGTGGAAATTTGGGTTGATGGAACCTCGCAAGTGGTTAACATCACCAAGTTTGGAAAAGAGGACAAACTGAGATGAGAGTGCTTATTTTTGTAGCTGCTGGAAACAGAAACGTCAATGGCAATGTGCCCAACATGTAGTGCATCTTTTTGCAGCTGCATTTTGAAACCCTGTTGCTGAAGCAAAGTTCACGCTGGCTGACCTCGGTTTCCCTTTATGTCTAGACTACCTATTCACCAATGCCAGGTGCCAGTTTGGCCAGCTTTTTGTAGTCGCAAAGAAAGATGGAGGTCAGGCAGGCAAAGCCAGCCCTCGCACCGGGGGGCTATGTTGCACGTTTTGGACTCCCAGGAGACTAGGGAGAAGGAAGTGACGTCAACGATGCTCGCTGGATGTTGATTGGTGTAGTCGCTGATGACAGTATCTGCAGAAGTTGCCAAGACACGTTCATTCACACCTACGTCACTTCCTTCTCCCTAGTCTTCTGGGAGTCCAAAACGTGCAACATAGCCCCCCTGTGTCGAGCACAGGCTCCAAGTCACTCGGGCAAAACTATCCGAGGCTTGCGGCCATGTGTGAATACAATCCTTTGAAGATATTCTGAGGTAAGCATAGCTAGGACAAATCTGACACCTGCTGTCTGCAGCATGCGTACGCATAACAGTGGGCATGTGGGCATATCACATTGCAGAGGCTAATTGGTAAGCACAGCGAGGACGACCCTTGACATCAACCAATTCGTTCACACACGTGCCCAGTCGTCGCTGCAGGTGAGGACGATGACAGTAGATGGCCAGTCGGCTTGTGGAATATTTTCTCACTGCCCGCTTCCTTCGCTAAATTTGTAACAATCGCTACGTCACTTCGCGTCACTCCACTGTGGGTGTACGAGTGCGTGCACGCTGCCCGCGGACATGCTTCAGCCCCTCGAGTGATCGCGCAAAAAAAAAAAAAGCACTGGTCGAAGCAGCTGCGTTCACGCTTTAGTACCGTTTCCAGTGGAGCACAAAAAAGCTGACATCGGGTATAGATCAATTTCGCCGCAGGGTTACAGGCTTGACAATGCACTTCTCCATTTCGACTAGCTGCGGGGAGCGCGATTGATTCTTGCAGAGGCGTGACAGTGTATATGCAAAGCACAATTCAGACGTGCACTCGCGGTCCAGATCACCGCTTGTGCTCCGTTGGCGTCTCATACGTACCTGGCGCGATTCCTGTTGAGGCCAGCAACGGGCGAATGATGTTACACCCGTGAATAATGCTGCCAAGCGGCGAGTTGGGCATCGCTGTAGGGCAGACTACACAACACCGCAGCGGCGCGTCGTTCGAATGAAATAAAACATTAGCTACACTGGACGTTTTAGCGAAAGCCAAACGAGCTGGGTTTATTTCCAGGCCGTAAATGACTTCGGAAAGCTGGCAGCGGTCACGGGTCCTTAGGCCTAAACACACCCTTCCGCCCTGGAGTACGCGAACGTTACGGCAGAAAGCATAAAACGGCCGTAGCGTAGCTGCCCAGTCAGCATTGAGACCTGTGCGCGTATGTTATCCAGTTTCACACTAACGATACCTTCCAATATCTAGGACTGCACCAATGCACTTTTTCGACTGGGGCGTGGAGCACTCCAAAACAAAACGGCAGGGCGTCTGCTCGCGTCGGCGGTAGCGGGGGGGAGGGGGGCTGCACGCAGCTTAGAACAGCCCGTAGCGCGCGCGTACCACGTGACTGCGCCAGCCAATCGCGGTATTCTTCCCTCCTCCCTTTCCTCCTCTCTCTCCTTCTTTTCTCTCTCGCGGGGCTTTGCCGTGGGGGGTCTCACAATACGCCTCCGGCCAACCCGAAAGGCCCATCTCTGCTGCGAGCAAAAATCGTCTGCTTCAAACGCCATTGCCTTGGAAATTGCCTTCTCAAAATTTGCACATGTATCCGATATTATTAAAACTTTGATAAATGGTTTAGTGCTTTACTAACTTCACGACAGACTAGTTTTGAAAAGTGTGAACTCGCCGTTCATTTTTTAATCAGCCGTGTTGTGTCGATCTCCATGTATTCTCCCATAGGGCAGGCCGCCTCCTGGAACCCTGAGTACCACGTGACTCACGCCGAGCCGCTCTGTCGGCCATGTTGTCGGCAAAACACGGGGTTCAAAGGATTGCGCTACTCTGCTCCGTAGGAGCTATATAGTGCTCTAGTTACACTCACAGAGATCAGTGGTTACACTACCCCCTTTAAGCCACTGTACACGTACGAAGCGATTTTAACACCGTTTTTCATATGGAAAAAAGAAAAAAACATTTTTTGTCAGAAAAAACGAAATATCAACGTTAAGTCTGCTACCAATGTATCTTTGCCGAATCTTTAGAAACGTTCGGCAAAAGTTCGGCTTCGCCGAATCCAACGATTCGGCGCATGGTGGTAAAACTTTTGCTAAAAACCCCGAGACTGGGACGAGAAGGGACGGACAAACACAAAGTCTCAATCATGGAAGTGGTCAAAATATCAAAAGCGCCCTGCCAAACTGGGCCGACTGGGCCGCGAGATCTACAAAAATTTAGGGGTGTCGCGAACCGGCCGCGGTTCGAGTTCGACCAGGTTCGACTTTTTCGAACTTTTAGTGGAAAGTTCGTCGAACCTTGTATTGAGGTTCGACTCGTGTGCGCATGCGCGACAGGCTGGCCAGTTGGCTTCGGATTGAATGGTAATGGCTAAGAGATGAATTAAGTGCAGCGCTGATCCGTTATTTTAGTCAATACAGTACTAAAATCTAAGTTATTAACTTCTTCAGTGAATAGATTTAGTTTCTTTCAATTGCAGCTGTTCACAAAATAAAATAACCCTTTGCATAAAAAAAAAAATTCTCCAAACCTAGACATACTTGTATCAAGGTCTGGCCACACTGTCCGCGAAGTCGAACCGTGGAATATGGTGGCTAGAGAGTTGGGTGTGTCGAGCGCGCCGGTTCGCCCATGCATTGCCGCGGCCGCTTTAGAAAATCTGCCGCCAGGGGCGCTACCTCCACCCTGTATGCCAGGCGCGCGCGACAATTTGCAGGCGGGGAACTGGTTTTAAACCGAAACCAGATGTGCGCGTTGCTTTTATCCATCTTCTTTCGCTTCCGTCGGTTTTTTCCAATCACTTTTTGCGTTCCTTGTACTTAGTGCACACCAAAAGCCATGAACGTCCAACCTTTTACCTCTGTGGCAAAGAAGAAACAGCGAGCGAAGCATTGCTTCGTACCGGGGTGCTCGACCGGCTACAGATCTGCGGAAGGCAAGCACACGCTGTTCGCTGTTCCGAAGGATCCTGTCCTGTTTTCGCAGTGGGGTAAAAATATTCCAAGAGCCGACATATCTCTGCAGTCGCACTCCGCGGTATGCGAACTCCACTTTGATGAGCGGAACATCGAGAGATATTATCCCGAAGTCCGCGTCGAAGGGGATGTCGTCAGAATGAAACGCAGCGTTCCGCTCCTCGCACCAGATGCCGTTCCGACGGTGTTCCCAAACCTACCGAAGTACCTGACCAAAAAGACGCCCCAAAAACGCAAAGATCGCTCCGGAGGGGAAAGCCAACTTGCGAAATGCGCCCGCAGACGTAACCCCATCCACGCAAAGTCAGCTTCAGTGCCCGATTTTTCATCCGCACCAGCCGAACCAGTCTCCAACCTGCGCAAAGACTGCTGTGACGGAGTCGTCGTTCCGTCGTCCAAGTGGATCAAACATCCATTCCCGGAGTGCACAGTATTTGCCGATGTGCACCTGGGTCCTACCAAAAGTGCCCTGCTTGCCGACAAGTTGATGTTGGTCACAGAAGCATCACCAGCTACTGGGGAGGAAAAGCTCGTCTGCACGCTTCTCTTGAAAGGGAGCACGCACAAGGAGGTGCAGCTGACAACTGCAACTGAGCTCCAGCAGTTTCTCGACGACACAGACCGTTCAGAACTTTGCATTGGTGCTGGAGTTTCCGAGGAATTCCTTCCTCTGCAAGTAGGCGACACCGCAACGGTGAGAATACGAGAAGGTGCAGCCATCAGCCGAAAGTGTGCACGGACGGTGGACACACAGGGTAATTAATTTTACTTTACATCTGAATGCTAACATATTGAATTTATATTTAAAAAAAAGAAGAAACTAAGACGCACAATATATTTTCCGAATCTTGGAAGGAGAAAAATTGAGGAATTGTCAAGAAGACAAAGATTAACTTCTTCATTTGATTGTTTACTGAAATCGACAGAAATGTTTGGAGACAATTGCCCCCCCCCCCCCCCCCTTCTTTTTTGCGAATGCCACTGGACAAGCAGAGGGTCTAAACAAGGCGATCACAATAGTATTCATTCTGCTCGACTCTCTAGCCGAGAAGTTATGCAGGTGGCACATACCATTAGTTAATATTGTTAAGCTATAGGACAAGTAAATATCAAGTGCTAGCAACTGAGAGTATGAACATGTTTCTCCTTTTAGGCACTGCCTGCCTGCAATGCAAGTATGCGAGGAAGCTACTCATTTCAAGGCGATGGAGGGCAATGCACCCAAAAGCAACTGCCCGCCTTAACGTCAGGAACATAAGGAAGCAACTGAAGCGTGGAGAAAAAAAGTTACGATTCCTGGCGGACAGTGTGAAGGAACTCAAAAAACAAACCGCTACCATCGAACTCTCCGTGCTTGAAGAAAAGGTATTTTGTGGTATGATAAGCTATACATAGTAATAAGTTAGACTGATGTTTTGATATATTACAGATCAAGACACTGCCACCAAAACAGCAGTTGAGTGTGAAGCACTGCTTCGAGGCTGCGAAAAGAAAATCCTCAAAAGGGATGGGCTACAAACAGGAGTGGATGCTCGAGTGCATTCTCATGAGGTATTGTCATAGCAAAGCTAGCAAACTCAATTATCTCTAACCATGAAAATAGTGAGGTTAAGTTCAAAATGGCAAACTTCAGCCAAATTTGTTTAAAAAAAAAAAAAAAGACGTCTTATGTTTCCATGGAAATAAAAAAGGCCAGAGGTAAGGGGAACAATACGAGATTTAACAATAGAGCCAGATACATAGAAGTACTCAACACTAAGACAAGGGCTGTTTCAGTAACATGCATCTCAAACTTGATACTAAGAAATGTCGAGAGCTGGGCTGTCCAGTTTCGACTTGGGTTTTTGCCCTAACGAACACTCGCCCATCACTGATATAGCCACATTAAGATATGAACACAGTAGCATCATGTTAATGGAGTTTCTGACATTAAATATTGCCTCCTCATTTGCTTAGTTTGCATATTCTATAGTTTCACTTGCTGCTAAGCTTAACACATCTTTTTTCTATACTTTAGTTCTTGTATTTTTCTTGTTACAGAATGAAGAGCCCACGGCTATACAGCCACCTTCGACAGAACAACATCCTCGCTCTCCCTGGGCGGACCACACTAAAAACGTATCTGAGGCGGTACAAAAGTGGGTTTGGGTTTAATCCGACAACATTCACTGCACTGAAGGAAAAGACAGCCGACATGAGCGAACTTCAATGCCATGGGGGTCTGGTGCTGGACGAGATGAAGTTGTCCGAGAATGTCGTTGTCCAGGCATCCGGTAAAGCAGAAGGCTTTGTCGATTTGGGTCAGTTCACGTCTGAGGAGCACAAAGGAGTACTTGCAGACCATGGTATGGTTCTACTCTTCCAGCCTTTCTGTGGAAAATGGACACAAATATTAGGTAAACGACAAAAGGATATCGGCAGAAATCCATACATATTACTGATATTTCTGAAATCATAGTAATGTGAAAAAATATTCCCAGGCGTTTTTGCATCACGTGGAAATGTCAAGGCCGGTCTCCTCTCCAAGATCATTGTAGACACCGTGCTTCTGGCCGAACAGGCTGGACTGTTCATCGACTACATCTGCTGTGATGCAGCTTCATGGAACAGAAGCATGTGGAGGCAATTTGGTATCAAGGTATTTCTAAGTCTGCGCTGTGTCAAGCCTAGCCTGCATACGTTGAAATCACCTGTTTTGTAATGTACCTATAAAATTTCAGGCATCGCTCAAGAAAACGACGTGCAAGAGCCAACACCCATCTGGCCCAGGGAGGTATCTCCACTTCATCTCCAATTTCCCACACCTCATTAAGTGTCTACGCAACATGTTCTTGAAGACTGGATTTCGCACACCACAAGGCCACGTAAGAACTAGTCTTTCATTAGTGTAAAGTGTTTCAGAAAAGTGTAGAAGTTTCATTACTAAAGCTTTCACACTTTCAGAAATTAACAAATGTTTTGTTATAGTCGATCACTAGTCAGAGAGTTATATTTTAGAAAGGGGCCATACTTTGGCGCTGAATTTCATTCTTTCAACAGGCTGGAAGAGAGCACATCGTTGAAGCCTGGAAGTGCGACTCCAGCTCTCTGAAGCTCAGGGCAATGCCACGCATTACCCACACTCACCTGTTCCCAAACGCATTTGAGAAGATGAGGGTCAACCTGGCCTTCCACCTCTTCAGCGAGGAGGTTGAAAGGGGTCTTCACCTCTACCAGGAGCAGATCCAAAAGGCACGTGGGAACCACCAGGGGACGCTCCAGCTGCACAAGCACATATCAACCTTAATCAGAGTGATGACTTCCCGCTGCCCCTACGATGCCCTGAGGTAATAGCACTATGTTTTTTTACAGCTAGCCATAACCCACACCCCTTATACAGTCCACATGTTCCTATTTAGGCTGAAAAGATAATTTTCTTCAACGTTTCATCTAGTGTATACTTCATAGCGGAAAATTTAGATAGCAAACAACTGCCTTTCCTTAGACGGTCTGCACCTAATGCATAGCCCAGACATACAAAATGTGCGAACGGAAGCCAGGGGCTATTTGTTGCCTCTTCGTCAAGAGATCGCACAGCGTCTCCTCAAGATTAAGCGTGACCCATATTTGCTGGCAGGGGCAGCTAACTTGTGCATTACCCATGAGGGCATCCAGACCGAGTACACCACACTGAAAGAAAGATGTTGTGTTACTGGCTATACACCATTCCATGTAAACGCTTCAGGACACATTCATTGCTTGTATGTTCATTTCGCACAAGTCTGCGAAATGAACTGGACTGCGATTTTTTTAAACAGTAAAATCGTCTATAGTACCCAGCTGTAAACAGGGTGATCTAGAGAAGAGGTGCACAGTCTGCACCCCAAGATAGTTTACACAGCATAAAAAATAAACTTTTCAGCATATATAGTCTGCAAACTGCAGCCCGGAAATTACCATACTTCAGTTCCCCAGGGCACCCTTAGAGCTTCTGAACTTTCTCGGTAGTCCCTACCCTCAAAAAAGCATTTTTTTTTCTTAATTGGAACACTATTTAGCATATCTAAACTACCCATTGATGCATACCTGGGTGCAAAATGTTCCCCAGTGTCTGTATTATTGTCACAAGGTCTCTAAGACTCTGTGCTGCTTCAGTGCCAGAACGCAGAAAGCGAGAGGAGTCTCCTGGCTGTCAATCAGGAGGGAGTCGGGTGCCTCAATGTCCTTCTGTTTAGGGTGATTCCACCCTTTGTAGTACCCGATTCCGACAGCACATGCTCACGGGCAAAATTAAAAAAAATCGACAAAAACAAAATTCAGAATGTCGCCATAGCACACTCAGTGTCACAAATGCATGCACGGACACGCTCCTCTGAAAATAAATCAAAATGAAAGCGTGGCACAAAATGGCCAGATGTCTCCGCCCTAAGCAGAGCGCACATGAAGGCACCCTAGGAGAGAGGGGTGTTTCTTGGGATTTAAAGATTAAGAACCTGTACTAAAGCATTTTATTTTGCCTGTGACATGAGCCCAAGATGCTAATTTTTGTCCAGGCCCGGATCCGAACAGGCAAAGCATATTGACGACTTCCTTGCCTACCTGGACGAGTGGGAACGTGGAGCAAAAGACGGAGGCTTTGTGAGCCAAAGCACGGCTGAAGGCCTCCGGGTGACTCTCCAGAGCACCAAGAGCCTCCTTCGGTACCTGGTGACTCTTGGGTATCGCTACATGATGACAGCAAGACTCAGTCAAGACTGTATTGAAAGGCTCTTCGGAATAATCCGACAGAGCCTAGGGCCAAACGACCATCCTACCCCAGCGCAGTTCCTGATTTTAGTGAACTGCCTAAGTTTTTACAACCTGGCAAAGTCACCGTCTGGAGGGAGCGTCTCTAAGGGAGTGCTGAATTCCTTGCTATCTGCAGAGGATGCCGGAAAGACGGCAAGGGACCAACTCGACGCTTTGCTCGAAGCTGGCAAGCTGGACGACGTGGAAGAAGTCCTCATAGAAGATGACCATGCTAGCTGTTTTGAGGAGACCAGCGACTCTCGGCTGGTTTACTACATGGCTGGTTACGCAGCTCGCAAGTGCATCACCAAGAAAGGGGGATGTGGAGACTGCAAGGTCGCCTGTCTCAGAGAGTCCACACCGACAGCTGCAGACCACGCTGCCTCATACATGTGCTCGTTTGACAGGGGTGGACTCCTCTATGCAACAGACGGGCTCTTTGGGCTTATCAGCCACCTCGAAAATGTGTTCACAAGGTGCTTTAGCAAGCGCAAGCTACATGCAAATAGCATTGTTGACATTCTTAGCTGCGTTGGGGGCAACGTTCCTGGTGTTGGTTGTGATGAGCACAAAATGGAGTTGACGAACAGCATCACACGTTTCTACCTTATCACACGCCTGCACTTCTATGTGAAGCAAAAGAACAAGCTGCGAAATGAGCGAAAGCAAAAACAGCAGCTCTCAAAGAGGGGCAGGTTGCTCTGAAATGTTTGCATCAAGGTGCATCATTTTTCTGACTACAGTTCACCACAGCCCATTTCAACTATCTTTTTTGTCCCTGGAGCTGACCTTTGTTATGACCTTCGGGGTTACAGTCATTATTTTACAGGGTTTCAGCTCATTACCTTAATTTGCATGTGGTAAAAGCGCAAAAAGAACGGCAGAGACTGGAAAGGTAACAATGTTTGCAAGTGATTGAGAAATGCGATATGTAAGTGCAATGATTTTAGACTTCAAACTTTATGTGATATGTAAGTGCAATGATTTTGAGACTTCAAACTTTAAGTGAAAAAAATAAGCGTTACTTTTGACCAAACATTGGTATGCTATGTATTAGTTTTGACTTGTAAATATGTTCATTTTTTTTTCAATCAATTTCGTACTTCGTCACCAAGTTTGTACTTGGAATAAAAATGCGCAGTACCGCGAACCTGTTCTCCGCTCTAAGCCATGGCAAATTTTCGCGTTGTTTTCCGCCGTCCAAGTCTGCGCTTTCTTTAACCGCAGAAAGATCGCACCACGATTCACCAATTCCTTTCATATATATTATCATGTTGAAGTGCACATGCGGTTCAGCGTTGATCCATTTGAGAGACGATACTGATACGCTTTACTGGGGACAGCGGCTTGAAACGCGAAATTTCCTCACGGCCCCCTATAACCTCTAAAACGTTTAGCATGTCTAAAAAAATGTAACACACGACGGCAACTAAAATATACTCCAAGCTTTTTACAATACCTTGTCATCGTCATCTCGGGGACTTCTTCCTCGGGAAAAAACGTCACCGCCGTGGTGAGGCAAGAAAGGCTTCAAATCCGCATTTTCCCGCTGTGACGTTCCGAAATGAGGTCGACTGTGGGATCTAAGTACATCAAACTAATAATACGCCACAATTATTAGTTCCGTAACGACAGAGAACCGAAAACTTCGCGAAAAACAATCCCTACACGGCCTACGTCGACGCTCGTCGCAGCCATTTGTAGCAATCGGCTAGCATACAGGGCTACTGAAGCGCCTCCTGGCGACAGATTTCCATTTCGGTGCCGCGCGCCCGCCGCCGCTCGACACACCCAACTCTCTAGCCACCCTACCGTGGAATCTGGTGAAAAGGTCGAAGGTTCGTCGAACCGGTTCGACACAGTCGAACCCCCAAAGTTCGACCAAAAAATCTGGTTCGACAAAAGTTCACGACACCCCTACAAAAATTTCCTCACACCCACTACGCCAACTACATCCTACCACCGACTTCACCGGAAGCCGTTGTCTTTGGTAGTGTGCAGCTTTGGCGCAGCACGGCGCGCACTCAAGTGAACGTCACATACGTCATATCCGTTGAAAAGTTCGGCGGATTTTGAACGAAGGAACCACAGAAGCGCGGGCGCGCTTCAACCCTTCAACTTCTTTCACCGGGCTAGGAACATGCCTCTGCTGCTGAGAGTTTTACTTTGATTTCAATCGTTTTTAGTTTGATTTTATTCGTTCGACGACGTCTCCTTTCATCGTATCTGTGGTAGCGTCCAAGGGGCCACCTAAACGAGAATGGCACCTAGAAAGGTGGGTGTATTTCTTTCTGTTTCATTGTTCTTTGCTACGGGTTATTCGTTGTGTCGTGTTCTCCCGTTTCTTGAATGTCGGTTTTTGTGCTGCACATCATTCCAGATGGCCCTTAATCTCAAGACCGGCCGCGTCAGGGGAAGGTCCAGGCGGGTCTTGTCAGATGCCGACAAATTCGGTTCGTGCTCAATTCATTTCTCTTCAACATCTAAAAAGGCGTCGGTGGTATTGAACTTGGGGCATTCAACTGAAGCGCCTCCAATACCCAGGCCTAGCCTGCTACGTGCCTTCTGTAGTCTCGTTTTCTTTTTTTCTTTTTTTTTTTTTCTTTTTAGCTGTCGCACAAAGCTCCATATATAGACGCTTTGCAGCAGCTGTGCACGGGCACCGCCATAACTGACCTTCAGTTTTTGTTTCCCCTTATTACGTTTACTTCACTTCATTATTACCATAGCAGGCTAGGTTATTGCCATCTTAGATTTTATTCTCTCTTTCTCTCCAGCATTGGCTTTTGTGGAGGCTCGTCCACACGAGTAGTGCGGAATGGACACCCCCATTTCATTCCAATTCCATTCCGGGGAATTGGAGTTTGCGATAATTCAATTCCTTTCAACTCCTAGGAATGGGGACATTGGGCCCATTCCCACTCCTGGAATGGCTGAATCGTTCCACTCCGTTCCTCTAATTCCTAAACGTAAAAATTGGCTCTTGACAGCTACATTGTGTTGCCGGCATAAGCACCATAAAGCTGACATTATCAAACGCATAGACACTTGCAACAAAATACAAAATGCCTAAAAAAAGCACTGATTTTACTACACGGAGCGCTGGTGGCTCAAAGTGTTTGTTTACATAATACTGCAAACATCGAGAAAGCCCCTTGATATGTCGATGCTTGTTCAAAACATTGGTCTTTCAACGACGTGGCTCGCAACAATCACCAAAACGTAAATCCACTAATTTTTTGGGGCAAACTTTTTTTTGCATTTGTCTTCTAGGACATATGTATGCGGCCAGCGTATTTGTTTGATAAGATCATAAAAATATCCAGTTTGTGCATGGCACAGAAATAAGCTATATTAAGTTCTGTATTCTTTAAAAACCTGCACAGCAATACGGCTAGTACACTGCTGGAAGCGACTCTATGCACAGTGGCAGGAACATATCCTCTGACAAAGTGCAACCTCTACGGCACAGCAGGAGAGACCATGTCACGAAACAGTCTTTCTGCAGGTCTAGTCAGTTCGGTCACGCGACAAGAGCTGTGACGACTATCTACTTCACTTTACGATGAACCGCAACAGACAGCACGAGAGCCATCGAAACCAATTCAGTGCCTTCTGAGTGTTGCGTGACCCTGGGGCGCAGCAACGCACCGTGCGTGTAGTCCCCCTCAAAGTGCTGGATTGCCTGGGGTGACTCGTAGCGTCCGCAGCGGTCCATCACAAGGTGAAACAAAGTAGGCAGTCTAAAACGAAGGAAATGAGCGGGAATCCGCTAGCTTGGCTGTAACCCTAACCCACTTGAATGTAAAACATGTAACACAGAAAACAAGCATCGGAACTAAGACCAAGTAACAGGCGGAATTACACAAATGCAAAATAATAAAACAAGTGTTGGAGAAGAAAAAAAAAACGCAAGAGGAGAAGAGAGAAGTGAATCTTGCTTTGTTTTATTACCGAAGCAAACCCACAGTTTGCACTTCAAAGGAGTGCGCGCGAATGAACGTAGAAGGCAGCAGGTTTGGCCACCTGCTAAACAACGCTCCCCGAACTGTAAAGCCAGTCACCTGCGCGAAAGGCGCCACTGCCACCCCCACCCCCCTTTCCCTCCCCCCTCTGCCCTCTACTCTTTGCTTTGACATTCTTTTTTGTGTTGCATTTTTTGCGTACAACTCTGTTAGAGCTCCACGCGGGTACGCTGTTTCTTGCCCGCTCATTTTATTTCTGAGCAACTGGTTCGCTGACTGGCTCAAATTCGCTGACCATGAACACTAAAAAAAAAAAATAGAAGAACTGAGCCCCATTCTATTCCCATTCCATTCCGGGCAAAAGGCATCTAATTCCATTCCCATTCCATTCCCCTCAACGCTGCCATCATTCCATTCCGGGGTCGCGAAAATGCGGAATGATTCCGAAATCATTCCAACTCCGCAACACTGGTCCACACCAATTTCAGTGCCTTGGTATCTGAATAAAACAAGAGATCAGCAATGGTGGCTGTATTCTGGCGCGTGTGTAAAGCGTCTATAGACCTTTCCAAAAAGAGTGCTCTGGCCGCCGCCATTTTGCGAATCGAACGACCCCTATCACCCAGAAATTTCTGGCACCCGCCTGAGCTGTGGAAACCCGGTCAGCGTGACTCTCCACCTGAATTGTGCATTTGGAGTTCGCTGGCTTTTCTTGAAAGTTTTTACTTTATTTGCCTGTTTAGGATGCTTACCCTTTGTGTGTTATCTTCCACTGTGAGAACCAGGGAATACCAGGGCTCGTAGCCTACTCGGCCTTCGCAGGAAACGAAAAAGAGAACGAACGTCAAGCAGCCCGCAATGCAGGCAGTTCGACATTCTTGGGGGATTATTGGGGTATACATAGCCGGGAAGGCCAAAAAGCCTTCCCAGCTATGTTCCGGGTCTTCGCGAAAAATAGCTGATAGGGTCGGGTCCGGGTTGTGGCTACGGAATAGACACCTTCGTACAGTTGCTTTGAAGCTGTGCGAAAAAGCAGCTCTCTTCTAGATGTTCCCCAAAACACACCGGATTCCGTCCGAATGTCGTGAAGTGACTATCGCGATTGTCGGCACTGTATATTGGATGTGCTGTGTTATTTGAGACCTTTCTCAAGTCCTGTTTGGATAACGTGGCACCGTGGGGTACGTACAATATATCTATATGTTGTTCGATTGATGATACTCTTTGAATTTCATGTTGTGGGCGGGGAATATCCATGCAGTTCGGATATCCTGTGTGGTCGAATATTTTCGACGGCTAAGACCTTTCTAGGTTGACACAGATGAGTGTACGGTGCCGAAAAAAGATCAGCATAAAAGGAAACAAATTTTCCAGTTGCATTTGTTCTGTCGCGCACGGACTCGACAAAACAGCTTTCATTTCTTCGTTTTTGTTCCCAAAAAAGAGTACAATGCAGTGATGTGATTGCTGCGCCAAACTGCGCCTAGGGGCTAACCCTGCTACATCCTGCTACATTTTGCCGAAATATGGGTAATCTGCGCCAAGTCTGCGCCAAAAGACTAATTTTGGTCGTCTTTCAGAACCGAAACTAAACCGAGTACCGTAATTGAGCATGCGTGAGGTAGATGGCGCAAGGGGCCGCCCAACAAAAAATATACCCTGTATCAATCATCCATCTGGTTTTAGTTTTTCCCGCCACCTCTTGTTTCACGCTCTCGTCGTTCATGTGTCTCGTCTCGCGTCTTTAAAAAAAAAAAAATTTCAACGATAGACGCGGGGCGTGTGTTGACGCTTCAGTGCTTCAGTCATTTTACAAAGCGCTTCAAGTACTTTTTTGACCCTGACTCGCGATGTCTTGATTCGACCTGACTCGCTGAGGTTCTTTTTTTCTGTGTGTTTAGCTTGTACCTCGTCTGCCGGCCTGACAAGCAGGTGCCGCTGGACTGTTTTTTGTTTTTTTTTTGTCATATTTTGCATAAAATTTTGGGAACCAGTTGGCGACGAAGCGGAGTGGCATGGTGTCTGTTTCGATTGAACAGCCATCTCCACTCGCGCGACGAAGCACGTTCAAATGCAAGCCTGCCAAAGTTGCCCTCATGTGCATGCGGACATGACTGCACGACAGAGGCACCAGCCGGGACGCTTGCAACCCATTATTTTACGTTTGCTTACTTTTGACGAAAATCTGGCACGTCGGGAACCAGTAAAACGGTGGCAAGCGGTTTTTCGGAATTGCTCGCAGTGATGTGATTGCTGCGCCAATTATGCCAAACTGCGCCAAGGAGCTAACCCTGCTATATCCTGCTACATTTTGCCAAAATGTAGGTAATCGGCGCCAAGCCTGCGCCAAAGCAGCAATTTCGGTCGCCTTTCAAAACCGAAACTAAACTGAGAACCGTAAGTGCGCATGCATCAGCTAGGTGGCGCAAGCGGCCGCCCGACACTAGAGTTCCTGTATAGGCTCCCTACGGGAGCCAGAGTTGTGTGTTCATCCCCTGCATGGCATGTTGATCCAGCGTCTGACGTGACTCAATTCGGCAAGTAGCAGCGCCGCGCGTTCGAGGCGCGCGGCGCGCTCAAAAGCAGTGGAACGGTGGAACGTTCGGCGGGGCGCGTGCAACATCTACTTTCCTGCACGGCACTTGATCCGGCTCCTCACGTGATCGGATCTTGGCGAATAGCGGCGCAGCGGCACGTGGAAAACAGACGCGCAACTCTGGCTCCTGCGGAACTCTACCCAAAACAAAGTACCCTGCATCAATCGTCCATCCGGTATTGCATGTTTTTCCCTTCGTCCTAACCTCCTTGCCGCCGTCTCGCGTTTCGCGCCCTCATGCCCAACGTTGCCCGTGCTCTTGTAACTCGTCGTCTCGAAAATCTCGTTTTGCGTCTTTTTAATATTTTTTTCAACGATAGAAGCGGGCGTGTGCGGGCGCTCCGACGCTATTGTGCCGGGTGCCAGCCATGCCATCATGCTGTGAAACAAAACCACGTTTTTTGGGCGGCGAGAGTTACTTTGTGAACTGAAACATTGTTTCAGTTCACAAAGTAACAGTTTCAGTTGTGAACTGAAACGTTGTCGTTCCCACGTCACTGCAGATATGGCGCTTTCTAAACTTGTTCATCGACATTCCCGGCCTTTTTTAAATCATACTCTACTACAAAAAAACTCTCTCTAACTCAACGACTGCTTGTCGAAATATTAATTACCTCGATTTCTCTCGGTGGACTTTCTTTCGAGAGGGAGCCCGGTACGTGACAAATCTGCCGCGAAAGTAAGTTGGTGAAGAGAAGTGAGCTAAAGCAGAGAAGGCAATGGTGTGAACCCGCACATCGCGCTTGTTTGTCTCGAGTTTGGTCGTTGCACAAAGCGCTCCAAGAACGTTTTGACCCTGGCTTGCGATGTCATGCATCGATGCGCTCAGGTTCTTCTTTTCAGTGTGTTTAGCTTGTACATCGCTTGCCGGCCTACCAAGCACAAACCGCTC